TACCGTTTATTGTCAGTCCGCACTTTGACGTTTCTAGTATTGGCAGAAATGGTTATGTATCCTCGTTAGCGAGTATTTTCGAAGTAGGAAGGGTTGGTAACCTCCTTCAGCCACTTACCATAAACTCCCAAAGAGCAGCGAGACAATATCTGATTGTTACAAAACCAAAATATCAACCTCAAAACTTGTGTCATGTTCTTAGAAGTCCTCGTCAAGTCGAAACTTTCGTATGGATGTCATGCAAGGTGCCAAACTCGTTCAGAAATATTTAACCTGTCATCTGTATACAACCGATTTCTCAAATCAATGGTGAAAAAAGGCTTTGGGAGATTACAGCTTGTGGATCTTGACGAAGACCATCCTTCGAACATTGGCGCTATAAAATCACAAAGGACTGTACCAAATAACAGAAACCAGATCACTTTCAACAGTAGCAACAGCTAAAATGGATATCACACGTAACGCGGAGAGAAAACGATGGCATAGCCAAAATGTTGACGTACCACACTATATTTGGCATCGGTCGGTTTCGAAGGACATTGTGTCTGCGCGCAAAGTGTTATGATACAGCTGCTGATGGCAGACACAACACATGTTGAGACGCTCTTTCCCGATTTCTTCTTCTTGTTTTCTTTCTCTTCTTCCTGTTTTCTCGCTTCAGCACTCGTTATAAATCGCGTCTCCAACGTGAGCGATCGTTAGTGACGTCTTCTCGTCTCTCGATATCCATGCCCATCGCATTCATGTCTCTTTTGCTGACGTTCTTGAAGCAAAGATGAGGTCGCCCTCGTGGCCTTTTGCCAGTGGCCAGTTCCTCGTACAGAAGGACCTTCGAAATCCTCCCATACAGCATACGGTGTACGTGTCCAAGCCAGCAAAGCCTGCGTTTTTTGGGGAAGGATATATAGGCTGGGTAACTGGGCACGGGTGAGAACTACGACATTGGCGACCCGGTCGGACCAATTTATGCTCAGAATGTGTCTCAGTGTTCCACACTAGTTAAAACAAAAGGTTAGGAAGGAAATCCCTATCACTATTAGAAAGAACGATAACAGCTACTGGACTTAAGAAACCTATTTTCCTGAATAACTATTTTAAGAGAAAGATTTTATAAATTTCGTCTGAAAATAGCACTGGTTGCTCCATAATGAATACCGAATGTTTCCTTATAAGGAAACGGCTAATATTACCATTACCGTTAACGTAATATCGATCACCAAGTGAAAAATGAACACGGGAAGATATTTGGGGGCAAGATTATGGAAGTGTGTGTGTAAAGTTGTTTGTCAGACAACTTTATATACACACTTCCGACAACCACCCGCCCAACAAAATCAAGCAAATCCCACTTATGTAGTATATGATGATACGTTCACATTACAAACAAAACCAAATAGCTATAAAATTTAATCCATAGATACCGAAAGCAAACATATATTAATAAACATTTACCATTTATTATCTTTTATATAAAAAAAAAAAATCTCGATCTACAAGCTGCTAGTAACACCATATTAAAATCAAATCTGAATATGTAAAACTTATGTCGTCTGTAAATTCAATTGTCCTCTTAAAGATTGCATTTCCAATAATATCTTATATAGATTATGCAAACACAACTATCTCGCGTAGATTCACTTGTCAATTCTGAACAATGCGCTATACAACATATGATGCAGAAAAGAAATGCAATAAGACAACTCGTTATGGACAGCACAATCATATTAAGTGAAACAAATTGACCAACAATTCAAAAAATCTGCTATAATTCAAATCATATCAGAGATGCACACAAACACACGGACTTCCATCTAATTTCTTTCTTACTTGATAATGGCTGAATTCAGAAGCCTTAACAAGAACTATAGGCAATTAATTTAACCATTCAACAAGAAAGTAATCAGCCAAAAAAAAAAAAAAAACTTCCAAAAAGACTGTTCGTTCGAATCTGAATTGGAATATCTGCAAAACCACCCCCTCCCCAGATTGATAGACAAGACATACAGCCGCATACTGGGATTTCTTCCCAGCCAATAAGATATGCCACTTCTTAGTTTCATCCAACTTTCTTCTTTCTTGTTTTGAAGTCAGACCGCTGCGATCGCTTGTTTGTATCCCTTTTGTGTGTTAACACCATTCTTAGTTTGTGAACCTTTTTGCCTTATTACTGTTGCTTTGACTTGCATACATTGTTTGCTAGTTTAATATTATTTTTGCCCTGTTCTTTTCTTTCTCTTTCTTTTGTTATTGTTTATTGCGAACTTTGTTAATTCTGTTTGTTGGGCATTTCTGCCAATTGCATTTAACCATAGCCGATTATTCTACGAAGATGAAAATATAGATTTACCTTGACTGATTCCTTTAGTAAAACTTGTTTCGCTAAATATTTGCGGGCAATATACACCCAACATGCAGATATATATGTTGAATAAAAATTCAGGAAATTTGAACCGCGCAAGAGGGCCGAATTTTACTTTTGTATGCGGTGCACTAACGCGAA